CTCTGGGCACCCAGCATCCAGCTCCCCCGCCCCAAGTGCAGAGGCTGCAGTCACACCTCAGATACCCTTTCTTCTGCTTGGAAATGACCTCAGGCAGCTGGGGCCAAATGCCACCTTCCCCTTACCATGGGACAAGGAATAATTAACACCTCGTTCACAGCCATATGTGGTTAGGAGAACATACTGTCTTTTAAAGCCTGCCTCATATCTCTGCAAGAGGTGAACCCATGACTTTCTTGCACTTGAGCAGAAGCTCAATTTGGCGCATGGGGGATGTGCGTCAAGTTGCCAAAAGAGAAACAGTGAAAAAAAACCACACCCAAAAAAGTGCATTTCTGCTACAATATGTAGATGCTCATTACCTAGACAACATGTTTCATGGAGTAAATGAAAATCAAACATCTTCTCCACTAGCTGATGCCTCACTCATAATCTTCTTTCTGTCGGGACATTAGACTTGTTATGAGTATCAGTCACTCTCCTGGTTTTAGCCCCTTTTGATGAGAAGCTGTGAACAGAAGACACTTGCAGCAGCAATTCCGACCCTGGATGCATCCTCCTGCAAAGGACATCTCTACCTGAGCTCATCACACCTCATTTTAGGCACCAAACTGGGACATGCGAGTTAGTGACAGTTCCAGTAAGCATCTGAGGTGGGAAGAGAGGGGAATGCAGAAAGGTAGCTTGTACAAGGTGTCTTGCACCAACGTGGAAGGAGAAGCATTTTGGTCTCTAAATGGCAATAGTTTACAGCGTTGAATCCCAGTATGTCTAAGGAGGAGGAAAGATCTAGGAACCAGCCCAACCTCCCCCAGCTCTTGGCTACCGCAGAGCTCACCCTGTGCACCCCATCTTGGAGGCACCCACTGCCCATCTCCCAGTCCGCTGCACTTCAGCCCTGCATTTGGTCCAAAGTCCAGCTCTCCAGAGCGCAAACGGGCAAGCAGGGAGCAGAACAGTGCCTTACAGAGAACCGTCCATCCACAGCGTTTGTGCACACAGTCCTTGCTAAAGTCACAGCAAAACAGTGCAAAAATTCTTAGTACAGCGCACTAAACCCAGTTTGATTCAAGATGCACATGAGAAACAACACACAGGGGAAAAAAAAAATTAATCTTTGCCTAGATAGTGCCTTAGCTGCAGTGTGGTACCAGCCACACAGAGGGAGCCAGGAGCCTCGGCTGATAAGGGCTGGCACGGCTCCACTGCTTTCCAGTGAAGCCAAGCCAATGTAAAGACAGCTGCAGACTGGGTCCAAAATATGAAGCCACAAAAAAGGTTCCTTTAAATTATTGAAGATACACTCACTTCTGGCTCCCATGACTGCTTTTACAGTGCTCTCTCCATTCAAAGCATCGTCACCCACCCTTCAAGCAGGATTATTTTCCTTTTGACTCAACAGCAAATTTAATTAACTGACCTAATGGACTAGAGCTGTGGATTGAAAAAATAAGAAATAAAAAAACAACTCCCACAAAACACACAGCAGAAAGAACCACCACTGCAACAAAAAAAAACCCCAAGTAAAACCAAAAAACCTAAAGAACAAAATGTGGCTTATGCTCCTGCTTTGTAGAGATGCAAAATACTGAGAGCAGCCGCATGTTGCGAGGTACAGCTTCTCCGTGTTGGCAACCATTTGCTCTTTATTGTCTTTTAACAGAAGATTCCAAAGCACTTTACAAGCTTTTAAGCTGCGCAACACCCTAACACGTAAGAAGGCAGCTATATGGGGAATACCACCATCCCCATCCCAGAGTTTCAGGCAAGCTGCACGCTGATACTCATTTATTTTAAAACCTCATAGATGCACACAAGAAGAAACTGGTGCTGCACTTCCTGCTGGGGCCATGCTTCCCCCAACATCTGGAGCATCTCCACTACTTAGGTGAACACTAAACATGGCTCAGCATCTTCACCACCACTCTGTTCCCTGAACCACCTCACGGTGGCATCAATGGGCTGAGGCCAACTGTATGAGGTTTAGCAAGGCCAAGTGCCGGGTCCTGCACTTTGGTCACAACCACCCCATGCAGCACTACAGGCTTGGGGAAGAGTGGCTGGAAAGCTATCTGGTGGAAAAAGACCTGGGGGTGTTGGTTGACAGCCAGCTGAATATGAGCCAGCAGTGTGCCCAGGCGGCCAAGAAGGCCAATGGCATCCTGGCTTGTATCAGGAATAGTGTGGCCAGCAGGAGTAGGGAAGTGATCATCCCCCTGTACTCGGTGCTGGTGAGGCTGCACCTTGAATATCAAGTTCAGTTTTGGGCCCTTCACTACAAGAAAGATGTTGCATTGCTGGAACATGTCCAGAGGAGAGCAACAAAGCTGGTGAGGGGTCTGGAATACAAGTCATACGAGGAGCAGCTGAGGGAACTGGGGTTGTTTAGTCTGGAGAAGAAGAAGGGGTTGTCAGGCTCTGGAATGGGCTGCCAAGGGAGGTGGTCGAGTCCCCATCCCTGGATGTATTTAAAAGAAGGGTAGATGAGGTGCTTAGGGATGTAGTTTAGTGGTGGGATGGCAGTGCTAGGTTAACAGTTGGACTCGATGATCTTAAAGGTCTTTTCCAACCTAGATGATTCTATGATTCTATGCCCGTGACACCGCAGGTGCCCATGTAGGAGTCCTGGTTCAACGGCCCTTGCAACAAGACGGGATCTTGGCTTCTCTAACAACAGGAGGTAGTGCAGGCATTGAACCAGCCAAAGACTGTACACATAACCATCCCTGGCTCCAGCTATATACTGGCCACACAAACCACATGTCTCAAACGACAGAGTCCTGAGCACAGCAAAAGCCCGAAGCCCAGCGATGCCCACAGCAGCGCCATGCCCAAGCCATGCATCACTCAGAGAGTGGCCACGAGAACCTGGCCCCACTGCTCCTCCAAAAACCTCTGCACGCTCCTTCCCAGCTTTGGAGCTGCTGGTGACATTTCTGGCCTGGGATTATTTATTGCAATGTTCAAAGCAAGCAACACATCACTTTGAAAGTAAAGTACCACTTAAAAGGCACGGCACTGAAATCTGACTGCATTCCATATGATTATAAATCAGCTAACTTCCCATTGACTTAGTTGAGAATACATCCATTTGCACAGAAAAAAAAAAAAATCATCAGACATCCACTCATTAATGCTAACTTCATCAGCCACGGCGAGGAGCAGCGTACTCCCCTCGCCCTTCTGACTGCACACAGCTGCTAACCTGTTTGCCTTTTCTGCTTCTATCGGGAAAAGAGGGAAACAAAGAGTGTTTCACGCCTGTCACAAGATCACCTGATAGGAGCTTCCAAGAACAAATTCATCATTGCACATGCAAGATACAGTCAGGCTGACAGACTTTTTGCTGAGGAAATTTCTGAGCAGAAAGGGCAAGATTTAAATTGCTGATCAGCACCACTTTTGTTATAACATGTTTGGAAACAAACTAATGGATTGGAATTATGCTCCTTGTACCAGCTTTGACACCTGTATCTGCCATGTAAGAAATAAAATTTAAAAATACTTCAAAATATGTTCTTTCAGATGCAGATTCCTTTCTCTTCGTCGAAAGATTGTGAGCAATGGGTGGAAAGTTGCCAAAAAATGCATTTGTGAAGCATGGGAGCCCAGCTGGCAGAAGAGCGTGGGTCCCACCACCCAGCCCCTCTGCTCCTCCGGAGGGCAGGAAGGTCTGGCCCCGCTCCTGGCAGTGCCCGAGCTACACAGCGCACATGGGCTGGGTGAAGCCACGGCACGGGAGGGAAACCCACCACTCCCAGGGGTCCCTGAAGCCCTGCCCAAGACCTCCATGCTGTGGAATGGCCACCGGCCACAGAGGGTCCGTGGCCTCAGTTCAACCCCACTGCTGCTGCCCAGTCTGTGGGCGAGAGCGCAGCCAGGGACTCAGCCCTGCGCTCTGCGACCCCTGCTCCAAGCACCAAGCCCAATTGCCAACTTCTACTGACTGTTTTCATGCCTAAAGAACAAATATTGGAGATTCAGAGGTTGTTTAAAAATAAGAATTCCTATCCCAGCCAAACACCTCCAGTGCTGACAAAGCCCTCGAGCGAGGTTAGGTCTGGGACTCCTCTGGGCCCTCAGCCAGTGTGGTCTGCATCTTGGTCTACCTCAGCCACGCCAGGCAGGGCTTGGCACCAAGTCCCAGCCCTTTGAAAATAAAGGCATGAACAAACCTGCTTACAGAACAGGCGATGTCAGTGTCAAACACCTATAGCTGTGTCATCTCACTGGCAAATTATGTTAAGTACCAGAAGTTATCTCTGCCAGTGTTTGGGCTCTGGGATCTTTCAGTACTTCCCTCTCATTCTTCCAATTTTTGACCTTATGCCCAAGTTGGTTGCTGCTGAGAAGTGCAATTAGTGCCTCTCATAGAATCATAGAATCGCTTTGGTTGGAAAAGACCTTTAAGATCATCGAGTCCAACCTTTAATCTAACCCTGCCATCCCACCACTAAACCATGTCCCTAAGCACCTCATCTATCCTTCTTTTAAATACCTCCAAGGATGGGGACTCGACCACCTCCCTGGGCAGCCCATTCCAGAGCCTGACAACCCTTTCAGTGAAGAAGTTTTTCCTAATATCTAACCTAAACCTGCCCTGGCGCAGCTTCAAACCATTCCCCCTCGTCCTATCATCTGTTACCAGGGAGAAGAGGCCAACCCCCACCTCACTACAGCCTCCTTTCAGGTAGCTGTACAGGGCGATCAGGTCTCCCTCCACACAAAAGGGTTCCCAATGGCACCAATTAAGCACAGGACTGACGAGGTGCGCTCCCAGCCAGCTCCAGCCATCAGGTGGCAATGCTGGAATCTGCTTCCGCAGAGCACAGAGGGCTAATGAAGCTTGCCTGGAGACCCCAGCGATGGTCATACCTTGCAGGGTGGCTACTGGGACAGATACCGTCCTGCCCAGGCTCATCTGCATGCCCACAACTGCTTCTTCATTCACCTCGGAGGCAACCACGACCATGCCAAGTTGGTAACACCACCACTTTTACCTGTGAACACTAGGCTGGCATTCTCCAGTTCTTCCTGCGGAACCTTGAAGCTGAAGGACTCATTGTAGAAGGGATCTATCGTCCCCCGCATGCAGGAGGTCTTCTTGGTTTTTGTTAATTTTAATCCATGAACAAGCTGAATTTTCACAAAGGGATCTGACAAAAAACACAAGACACAGGCTCTGTGTTACAGGCAATGTGAGTCAGTACCCTGGACCGTGAAGGTTGGGCACCACAGGGGTGGACCGTGCTGGAAAACGGCATTTGGAAATGCTGCACCACCATGCTGCTCCCAGGGATTTACAGTGGAGAAAAAAAGTCAGGCAGCTGGACTAAAAATACTCCCTGCCAAAACCACAATGAATGACAGCATTGATAGAAGCCACACTGTTCTTTTTGGAAAATGCCAATATTCTGGCAGCAGCAGTGGCTGGGGCAGGGAACATGGGAAAAACACCTGAGGACATACGCATGAAGCATTTACCAGCCCGCATGCTCAGAAACAGCAGGGAGCAATGCCTGGACACTGGAGAAACCTCACACCATGCACAGAGCAGCTGGATACCATGCATGAAACCAGTGCAACACCAACGCTCGGGCAGCACGCAGCGGTCACAGAACAGCGCGGCCACAAACGGGCTGCCTTACAGAACACAACGTGGGGGTAATTCAGAGCTCCTGGTTCCTCACCTCACCCTGCTTCAGAGATTTTTACTTTAAATATGGCAAAGGTATTCACACCCTCTATTTTATCTCAGGGTAAGTGTTCCAAATATTTTTGTTATTGTTGGCTGTGTACATAAAATGAGTATCTGGAGCCTTGTATTAATAGGAACTGAGCATCCAAATCTGCCTGAGTCCCCCACAAATTGCAGCCTCACCACTGATCTGCTTTAAAAGCACACATAATCTGTGCATGAGTAATGTGAGAAATGCACTGCCCTTTACCTGAACCTTGGCTCATGTCTGTCTGAAGAAGCTGTTTTGCTCTAATGATGTCCACGTTCAGTCTTCCCGCGCTGGGTAGGTAGTTTAGTGACAACAGCAGCTCTCCCAGCTCCACTTCATTCTGCAGGGAAAAGGGAACGTGGAAATTCAGAACAGAGCTTGGAGGGTAAGGGAAGAGCAGGAAGAGAAATTAAATAAAGCCCATTTGTCTAAGTGCCTGAAAAATAAATTTTAGTCACTCTCTAAACTGCAACCAAGAACCATCTGGTGGTACCTCACGCTGAGCAGACACAAGAAAGAATACTATCCCCAGGTGAAGCTCATTCTTTCATCGCTGATCCTTCACCAGCGTTTCACCAGTCATGCAAAGAGGACCTATAAGGAGGAATGAATACGAGGTCAGTAGTTTCTACCTGCTCCATTTTGAAGGGTTCCAGGTGGTTCTGATCTTACCAACCTCACATCCTTATTAATGTACAAAACACGGACCCATTGGAGAAGAGGAGGGCTACAAAAATGATCCGAGGGCTGGAGCACCTCTCCTATGAGGACAGGCTGAGGGAGTTGGGCTTGTTCAGTCTGGAGAAAAGAAGGCTACGGGGAGACCTGATTGCGGCCTTCCAGTACCTAAAGGGGGCCTATAGGAAAGATGGGGAACGTCTTTTTAGTAGGGCCAGCTGCGTTAGGACAAGGGGAAATGGTTTTAAACTAGAACAGGGTAGGTTCAGGCTAGAGGTAAGGAAGAAATTTTTTACAATGAGGGTGGTAAAACACTGGAACAGGTTGCCCAGAGAGGTAGTGGAGGCCCCATCCCTGGAACCATTCAAGGCCAGGTTGGATGGGGCTCTGAGCAATCTGATCTAGTTAGCAGTGTCCCTGCTCACTGCAGGGGGGTTGGACTAGATGACCACTAGTGGTCCCTTCCAACCCTAAACACTCTATGATTCTATGATTCTAAGACATCCCCTCTCCTTTCCAGCCCCCAAGGACCACACCAGCCATTTGGGAAGTTCAGGCACGAGATGGTTAATGCATCCCTGGGTCACGGGAAGGCAATTCAGAGGAGACATCCCCTCAGCCCAGCTGTTCTACCTAGAGATCACGGCACAGCTTAACTGTGCCCTCGCTCTTCATCAGGCTGCACCACAGCCATAGCTTCACATCAATATAGCTGTTCAGCCATTATTTCTTTTCCTTTTACTTAATGATGCTTAAAACTAGTAATTAAAAAAAGAGCTGGAGAACTGACATCACTGCTCTTCAGCCATGACAGCTTAAAGTAACCTCTCCCCCCTAGCACGACCTGGCTCCGAGATGCTGTTATTCCCAGATGCAAAATACACACAGTGAAGCAATTCTGGAGGCTGAAAACACACCAGCCAGCTCGGGCAGGGCATCGATCCATCTGCCTTCGCCTCACGTCCGTGCAGGAGTGCAGAGCTAGTTCTTCATCCCAAATAGCCAAACGGTTCAAACCAAGCCTGGATCAGATGGTCACAGCCCATTCCCAAAAGGAAAAGGAGCTGCAGTGGTATTGCAATTCTAGCAAAAGGCTTAAGTATCTTTACTGATGCCCCAAATATTAGATTACAGAAATCGGAGACTAAAGGACTGGGTAGACAAAAAAGAAAAAAGCTCCAAGGCACAGTCATAGCCTGAAATGACCCAAAGAACCAGGTTCATCAGCAGATGGGCCAGTGCACGAGGTACCCATCCCTGGCAAAGCTACCAACGGCTCTGGGGAAACTGAGGCTGGGGCTGTGGGGAAACCCACCCAGTTCACAGCTATCCAGCTGCAAATGGAAAAGCACAATATCCACCAAGTGTGGATGAACCAGAGGGCTCGGACCGAACCTGAGGAGGCATCTGGGGAAAAGCCCCGTCCCTCTGCCACCTCTTGCCTGGGCGGCCAGCAAGCACAGGACCTGCTAACAGCAGGCCACTCGGCTCCTCGTCTAACAAGCCAAGTGCTAAATCTGATGTCAGGTAATGGTATCAAAAGTTTCCCTGAGGCACTTTGTCTCCTCTCCTGTTCCTGTTGACAACTCCCAGCAAAGACAGCGGGACATGCATGGCGTGCAGGAGCAGGGGGCAGGCTGAAGAAGTCCCGCACCTCCAATGCTACATAATACAATTCAGTTTAATTCCACATCCTTTTTTTGGCTTTCCACGGAAAATATGGCAATAGGCTGCCCCATTTCACACCAAAGGTCTCTGCATTTCAGGAGCTGGCAAAGGAACCCCTCTGTGTTTAATCCCGCACATTTAAGGAGCAAAGGATGGGGGAAGCACCATGAGGGGACCAGGGTGAAGGCTGCAAGTACAGCAGCATCCCGACTCAGCCCCCAGGCGAAAAGTGCGGGCCTAAGATCCTAAGGCAAACCCACGCGTCCCCCTCACATGCTCCGCTGCCCCAGGAACCAGCGCCAGGCTGGGCCACCTTCTGCCCGGCCCTCCCCGCAGCCCCTCTCCCAGACAAGAAAAAGCATCTGACATCTTGCCCCAAACTCCTTTTGTCACAGCATCTCCTGGGTCACACCGTGGGGCGGTATGTGATTACACAGCACACACACATTCACCACGTGCAGCTTCTCCCGTCGCTACAGTGGTTTTGGTTTACCTAGAAGGCACCCCTCTTCCATCAACCTTTGTCAACTCCCACACCATGGTTCGGTTCAATATAAGACATTTTAAGTTCTTTCCATCAGAAAGCCATTCCCCAACACAAACCTGACCCAAGACGTACACAACGCTCACGACTTTCGCGGGGTCAAGCCATACCTACATAAGCTGTTGTGCCCAATGGTTGCACAGTGTAAGGATCTAAAAGTCTCACATCCAAGGTGATTTCAATGTCACCTATCTAATTTAAACTATCATCTTTGGTTTGATTTTCCCCAAAACCGCTCCTCTCGGGTCTGTGGCTGGAACAGCCTGAGGACATGTTTATCATCGAGAGCAGTCGGTGACTTCTAAATCTACTACCAGGACAGTAATGAAGCATCACAGCACCCACAATCCCACCCACAACTGGATCCACCTGAGGTACCCCTCCACCCCAGCTCATTTTTTTACAACACATCAACATTTTTAACATATCCAGTCCTACTTTCACTTGCATTCACAGCTGCGTCAGGTTTCATGCAGGCTTTAATTCCTAGAAATTCAGGTACATTTGGACAGCACAAATTAGGAAACTAATTAGTGATGTTATTACCTGCTGGGAAGAGACAACCAAACAGCTCTGGCTGCAAATACCAAACTTCTGGGGCAGCCAGGAGGCAGGCTGGCACTGGGCATGGATGTAGGACCTTTCAAATCACCTCAAGCTTAGAGTGCTGAAAATCCACATTGACATTTGGGGTTATTACTTCTGGATTTGTCCACTGGTGGAACCTGTTGACCTAATCCAAGACCTGCAGGAACTAAGGGGCTCCCCTGGGTTAGGGAGGAGCAGTGAAGCTCAGGAAGGGAAGGTATATGGCCACGCTTCCGACACATTTACATTTATGCTCCATTTTAAAAAAATTGCCCCACATTGTACACTGACAGTATCAGACGGGGTATGTAACCCCCACTGAGGCACAGGCAGGAGAACCAGGCTTCTACCCCCACCGGGACCCTCCCTGGCAGCAGGTCCCATAACCCCTGCAGAGGTTATTGAATGTAACCACCATGCTCCTGCCTAACCTGCAAGCCTCCGGCAGGTAAAGATAAATCCCTGATTTTCCCTAGGACCTAACCTAACAGAGATATTGGCACCTCTAGAAAAATATTTTTGGCTATCTGGGCTTAAATTTGAGTAGGCGAGATATAAAACTCTATACACTGTAAGCGTGATCCATTGAAGTCAGAAGACAAGCATCAGCTTTAATGAGTCTCGGATCAGGCTTGATTTCCCAAATTTCCATAGCTCCTTCTGCCCCTTAATGCTTTTCAAGCGTGCCCAGATTTCTGTTAATTATTTTAAGGGAAGGAACATACAATCCAAGCCACAGAGGCCACGGCAGGATGGGTGTGCTCAAATCCAGCAAGAAAGCAGCAGCCTTGTTGTAGGCAGAGCACCAACAGTGTTTACAGTGGTAACAAAAGGTGTTTTCAGAAGGAAACCCAGATCCCCGGATAGCTCACCTCCCCGTACGAGTGACTCAGCCTTTTCAAGGCACTTAACTCCAGCAGTGAACTGCCTCTGATCTTATAAATGCATTATTTCTAGCTTAGCCGCAAGGATCTAGGAAACCTGCTTCAAATGCTGCCACAGTGCCGGAGGGGACATCAAGCACTTGAGAAAACAAATCAGCGGCCAGCAGCCACCAGGCGCTCCTCCCCAGCACATCGGACCGGTGCTGCCTCCACCGTGCCATGCTGCAGCGCACTCGCTAGCTTTCTCCCCTTCTTCAGTCACCTGTCAGCTTTAGCAAACAAGCAAGGAATTAACAGGTCGCTGCAAGAAGCCCAAGGTACAAGACATACCTCCCCCATGCTTTCCTCGACAAGCTCACGCCGCAGCGTACCTTTGCTGATGTGACAGTCTTGCTAATGAGACACGCTGGTGGCACACTGTGTGTCAGAGACGGAGATGCAGACAGAGCTCTGGCTTAGCGGACTCACTGGCTCAGCAGGCAAAAGGGGGGTAACTGGGGAACACAGTGGGGTCTACCATGAGAAGGAGAAACAGGACCCTTCTTGTTACGGGCCGGAGACTTGTTGTGAGGCAGGAGACTCAGCTCAGGAAGGGACAAGTGGCTGCAGAGCTCACCTGCACCTTGGGAACGCTCTGTGTTGCGATAACCATTGGCCCCCATGCCCATCACCTTCTTTATAGGCACCTTTATCAGCAATGGTGTTATTGCACGGATTGCTGGGGGACTGCAGGCGCAGAAGCGTGGGTTTTGCTTTGCCACACCTGGAACCTCCCTAAACCTCAGACTCGCACGGGGCTGAGCGGAGGAGAGGGATGCTCAGGCATGAGAGATGTCATCGGCTCGTTGTTCATGATGGGGAAAGGCAGTGCCTGAATTTTACTTTTCCTAGGTCTTTTCATCAGGAAACTAAAATGCTGTTGGTTTTGCCTTGAGTATTTTGCACACAGAACACAGTGTGCAGAGGTGCCCCTCAGGC